ATGGGCTTGTGCACGCTATAGCATACGTTTAAGGCGTTTCCTCTCGGGAGCGGTTACAGGGTTGTGCATGCGCTTTTTTTCCCTTTTTTTTTTAAGTGCAGGGGGCGGTTCTTCTCACAAATTATGAAAAATCCTCCCCTAAACCTTTAAATCAGCCCCTCTATCAACTTAAGGGCAATAACAATTTGTTTGTATTGCTGTGGGTAAGTCAGAAAATCCAAAATCCAGATCTTTAAAACTGGTTCCTTTATCACAAGTTCACTGTTTTAGTGGTTTCTAAAGTTACTCAATTTCACTCTAAGTAGGCAAATATTTGTTAGCCTGGCCATGTCCTGGTAAGGTTAAGTGATAAAGATGTTATTGTTTTTTTTTATTATATATATATAATGACCATATTTTGGGATTTTATAAAAATTCAGTCTAATCCAGCAATGTACCGCTTCTTTGTTTTTTAATCATTGAACACTATATTTGTTACCAGGCAGAACTTGTGAAAGCTTTATGAATACAGCTGCAGAAGGTGGGCAGTCCTGCTTTATTCACATAGAATGCTGTTTTGAAAGCACTTAAAACATGAAATAGGCAGAGCTTTTAGCTCATTCTTTTTCACTCTAGCATTGATAATTATGTAATCTTTTTTCTTTTGTGATGCAGGTTTGTGTGGGAAGCATTTGTATTCTGTTATTCAAGCAACCAGCGACAGTTCATACATAAAAATATGTTATTACTTCCTTCTGTCACTTTATATATATTTTTTGATATCAGGTTAACAGAAGATACGAAGAGCCATAAAAGAAAAATCAGATATGCTGCTGCTTTTGACCGAGCGTGAGGCTCTTGAGGGTACACCGATCAAAAAATTTGAGTGACAGAGGAGGAGAGATTTGAAATGAGATCTGCAAAAAAATAGTAAGGAACACAATCTCAATATCCATTTTTTCAGGATGCAGTAAATAGGGCTCAGAGAGGTGGAAAGGTTCGAGTGGGAAGGCAGGATGCATTTCCAGGGCTAACTTCTCACCGTCAGGGGGCTGAGAGAGCGCCCCATTTCTCTTGCAGTCATCCTCGAAGGTAATTGAATTTTGGATGAATCCGCCTTAGAGCAAAAAGTGTCTGGGATGGGAAGACGGTTGATGCTTGGGGAAAAAAAGAAAAACAATCAAAGAATGAGAGGCAGGTGACAGCACCATCTTTAAAGATTTATCTTTGCACTAGCTGATAGGACAAGCTATCAGAAACGTAGAGAGTATACTCTTCTTTTATACTTTCTGTGTCCTGATCATCATCACTGGTTTTTGGTAAGTTCTTGTATAACCATCCGCTAAAGCCATCACCTACTTTTTAAACGCCTCCCACTACTGAAGTTTTAGGTTAGTATAAATCCAGCTGTTCAACAAAGGCCACAAGATTTGTTAGAGAACAGAGAATAGCCTCATGAAAAATGAGACAGAGCGAAAGCCGTGCAATGCATCCAACAACCTTTGAACTTAACAATTATAACTCCATCTTAAAATGGTACAGACATCTGCAAATAGAAAATGACCTGTACTTAAACAACACTTTTTTAGTCAAGAAACCTATACAAAGTGCCTTAAACTACATTCAGGTTTTGACCCTTTCAGACACACACTGACACACTGATCGTAAGATGGACAACATTTAATGTCATTTTGTATACACAGAATTTATACAAAACAAAATTTCATTTTGCACTGCTCTGATGACATTTCCTTTTTCTTAAAATACAGCAGTGATCAAATGTAAACATGGTGGGAGAAAAAAAAACATGGGAAAAAATGGTGCAAAAAACAAAAAAACACTGATGGTGGCAAGCTACATTGGAGCTGCCTTGGGGCTCAATGACAGAAACGTACGCAGTTTCTACTTGGCCCCCTGACCACCATCAGTAGGCCGGAGCTTGAGTTTGAGCTGATGACCCTTCGGATGCAGGAACAACTCCTGCTTCCAACGCCAATGTCTCCCCGTACCAAACCATGATCGTCTTCCTTACCTGAGAGCCTTGGAAGTAGGAAAATGTGTCCGAAAAGTGGATAAGCAACCAATTCCAATTTATGAAGAGATGCAGAGATCCACAACTTGAGTGGACAAATCTGTCGCCATGGCAGGATTAGTACTCCAGTTTGTGAAAAGCTATGTAGGAGACACATCGGGGGTCATGCAAGTCCAGAACTGAATCTGCAAAAACTTAGTCTGCACATCATCCTGAACAAAAAAATTCCATGGTGAAAACAGCCTCATGAAGAAATGCTGTAGATGTCAATAGCTGCAGCCACGAAAGGTGCAAGTCTGTAACAAAATTCTTGATCGGGTATTACACTGAACTAAATTTCTGACCTTACTAGAAAACATTTGTAGGGTACTGGCTAAATATGTTGTCTTACCTTCCAGATTGACACCGACTCTGAAGATGCACCTAAAGCTACAGATGAATTGTTTATTTCATAGCAAATTCCTTTGATAGATTATTTTGCAAGACTTCATATTGATAAATTATACAATCTTACTGAGTCTGATATGTTTAGCAAAGAATGGTTAGGTATATCCATCACTAGATGTTCAAAGCAGGTATATAGACGGCCCAAAATGCTTACAGGTGCACTCCGGAGGAAAATGGTTTTACAAAGTATAGAAAAAATCTGAGCAGAAATGATTTAATCTGTTGACTGTTTTTAGTCTACTGATGTTGCTTCCCTAGACGCAAAGCTAATAAAGATTAGTCTTTTTGTGTCCCAGTGTGCAGCATTTCTGAGCAGCTATTACTTGCATGACGCAAGCACTGATGACACTAGTGCTTTGAGGAGGACAAACTGGCAACGGCACCATCTTTGGCTGCAGTCCACATTCACATTACTGAGTTTCTCAAGGACTATCGTGGCCATTTATGCTCTCTGATGCAGCATTGTGAAATCTCTGAAGTATCGGTGTGATGCCTGAAATGCCAGTACAAGTACCCTTGTAGCTTACATGGGCATCCTGATGTGCTTAACAAGCGTCTAGTTCTTCAGCAAGTAGGTAAAGAATAGGTATTCAGTCAAAGGGAGCAATGTGATGTGGAACAACAAAACTGCAAAATTTAACACTTCTAAGTTAAAGTTGTTTTATCTTAACTACATGATCTCTTCCCCATTGTTGTCCTGTATACCATCAAGCCTGGCCAAATACCTGGACTGAAGATATTCAAGCTGCAGCACAGCCTTTTGAGATATATCCTGCTTTTTCATTAGACACATCGGCCTTCAAGTACATCTTCAAAGCAGCTAAAAATACTTGCATAGAGTGTGATCAACACTTCTGTTATACATCTTTGTCTCAGATGCTTTAAAAATGCACATAAAAATATTGCCTGTCTGATTGTGTCATACCAGTATGGGGAAATTGGTATTATATTGCCTTTCCTTTGAGCTTTTTGGTGGGTCTGCCAAGATTAATGATCCTTACTGGATAAAGGAGTCAGAAAGTTTTCCCAGCCCAGAAATTAGATGTGATATAAATTTTTGGTTTGCCTAAAAATTGATTTTCAAAATATTTCACCTCAACCAATAGCTTTTTCACCAGAATTGGCTCAGTTTTAAATACCTAATCAAACTTTTTTATTTTTTTTCCCCAAGTGGAGATGATGTTGAAACTTTTAAAGATAGATGTAGGAAATATTATTTTGTGCTCTGTTTAACCAGATGTAAGGGCTTTTTGAAATTCCATTGTTTTATGTTTTGGTGACTTTTGAAGAACTGCAATAACCATGACCTGTGACAGTCCTTGTTACCTGTTTTGGAAACTGTGGGGCAAGCTAATCTGTGAATTCCCACTTGTTAATGTTACCTTATTTGGATAGTCTGTGGTCTGGGAAATGGAAGCTGCAACTTTAGACTGGGGGATGAGTTCTAAGAAGCTGTTCTCTTTAATATAAATGGGAGTGAAAGGATGACATTGGGTTCACTGGTGTTTATCAGAGCAGTGGTAGGGCTGGCCTTAAAGGTAAGGCTTCCTCTGTAATTTCTGCTTGTATCAGTGATCCTGTTAATCGTGACTGAAATCAATTCTCTTGATGCTTAAACATGTTTTCAAGCTGTGGTGCATATTTCGAGAACCCCCCTCTTGAATTAAAGAACTGGGTTCAATATTAGATTGATATTAGCATGTACATATGGGCTACAATAACTGCCAACATCCTACATTTTTTTTTTAGGTGACACGTAAAACACCTATACTTTTGTAGAGATCTGTGAGCTTTTGTCCTAATTCAGTCAATACATTTGATTATTACTCAACTTGTCCAAACGGCTTAATTTTCCTGTTCCTGTTTTAGCATTTGGCTTCTCTACGTTTCACACTAATATTACCACCTTCTTATAAAATGTTGATGCTAAACTATAATGGATAGTGTTTCTTGTGCCTTAGCAGTTTCCACAAATCATGGTTTCGGTAAACAGTTTCTCCCAAGGTTTTGAATCCTATGTTTACCCTTTCACTGACTTTTCTGGTTCCCATGACCTTGGCTTGCTCCCAGAAGAACATTATGCTTTCTGTTCTCAAAATTATCCGACCACAAATATGCATATTGAGACGATCTTATTCTGTCTGCTTCTCATACAGCTTTTCTAAGCAATTATGTTAATAGAATGATACCTTGATCTTAGCAGACATCTGATTATGTCATGTTGGCTCAGAGTAGAGTTGTGGGATGTTCAGAGCAGCAAAGCCAGGTTTGCCCTGAGGCAGATTGTTCTTGACGCCTGTGTCATCAAGAGTCTTGGCCTGTTTATTCAGGGACAGTAGGTCTCTGCTTTCATTTGAATAAAATAAATCAAGCTGAATAAAATTTGCACATAAAGATGACAGATTGTGTTCCTTTCTTTAGGTGACCTCAAGGTTTTGAGAGCTGTAGGTGTTTAACTTTGAATGAGCTCTAAAAGCCTGTTTTTCATGTTCAGCTAGTGTCAGTGTGGAACAATAACTCTCACCTCTATTCCTTCTTTTAGGACTTTAAAAAAAATGAAAGCTTCCATCCCTCTTCTGATCCTGCTTCATGCGTTGGTGGTCCATTGCCTAAAAGTCGTGTCAAAGAGAGGTTCTGGTAAGTCCTAGTTGCTTTTAATTATCTTTTCTGAAGACAAATAAGTTTTAAGTTCAATCTCCGTATCCCACAGATTTTACCCAACACACAGATACAAAACACTAGATAGAGAGGTTTTAGCAAATACAAAAGACATTTTTAAAATTATATTTAAGTTAAGGAATTGCCTTTTCAAGTATACACTCTTATTGAATAAGGAAAATGTCGAAGCTTTCTTCACTAATCAAGTAAGTTATATTTTCTTCTGAATTTCAACCTTAAGAGACAGTTTTTGTGCTTGTAAAAGTGCAAGAACTTATTTGTCTGAGTAGGTCTCTCTGGCTGTAGGAATTATTACCTCAAGTGAGCGAGATGAAGGGCATAGAAACATCCACATTTGCAAACACAAAGGAAATCTTTCTTTTTATTCATTATTTTATTTATTTTTCATCCAATCTCTGCTTGCGTCTGAGTTTTTTACCCATGCATATTAGGCCCAGGTGCAGAAATGGCCTGAGGCTCATCAAAGGATTTTTTGCTTTCCCAGCAGAAGCCCCGATGGGCTATCTCTTGCGAAACTTCACGAGCCATTGCCTGGAGCTAGGATTTGAATCGTGTCCACTGATAAATGAACACCCGATTTGAGCCCGACCCCAATCCTTTGTTCCATCCACTTTTAGATTGAACAGCTTTATTAGAAGCCATGCTGGTTTCAAGTTGGAGAGCTGTTGTTTGAAATGGCTTTGGGGCAATAAAAGCCAGTGGAAACTGTATTATTTTCATTTTTCTGAAAAATAGAGAGAGAGTAAGTGAATAACCTAGAATGATTACAGCGGGTCCATCTTTAAAGCTTGCTTTTTCAGGGTTTAAGGTTCCTTTGTCTGAGACAATGTTGAATTCAATAAAAACCCAAGTCTTTATTGATGCTATTGTCTTTCTATGATAAAACCATTTCTTTTTCATTCCCTCTGTTTTTGTGTCCTATTCCTGATGTTGGATAAAACACATTATTGAGTTTATGCCCCCTAAAAAACAGTACAATTTAAGTAGTCAGGTTTGGAAGGGGGGCACCCAGGATAATCTGGTTCAGTTTTCTCCTTAACAATAATATTTTTTGCTTTCATTATACTATTGTGATCATTTTATACTTTTGGTATACATTTGGCATATTGTCATAAAGCATTCATATAACTCGTCTGAAATTACTGAAATGCCATGTTTAGTTTAATTAATTAGTATATTATCTGAAAACTTTATGTTAAGCACCGTTCTCAGTTATTGTTGGCTCTGATCTAATTTTGCATATGGACAATTAGGACACTTTATCAAACCAAATTAACTGTGTGATATAATACCTGAAGATATATTTTGACTCATACAAGAAAAATATACTTAGATCAGACTATAAGTAGAATGTTAAAAGTTAGTTTAAGTTATCAGTTGGAAGGATTCTTGCAGTTTGTGTTAATACATTCAAACTTAGACTTAGACTTCTTTATTTGTCATTTTGTATGCACAGGGTGCATACAGAACGAAATTGCGTTACATACAGCTTATGAGCGTTGCATTGATATTTCACAATGGCACGAGTTATAGAAAAATACAAAAAGTGCAGCAGTGGTCAAAGTGTGAACAGTGCAGAGGATAAGAGACAGTGTGCAAGTTGCAGTGGTTCAGTGCAAAATGGCATTTGTGCAAAAAAATGCGTTATTGAAAAATACAATGAGATGAACAATTTAAAGGGCTAAAAGTTAAAAGTTCAGCAGCATTTGATGCCCGATAATGTGCAATAGGTGCAGAGTTCGGATTGTGGATCAAAGGTTCAACAGTCTGATGGCAGTGGGGAAGAAGCTGTTGCACAACCTGGTGGATCTGCAGCGGATGCTGCGGAACCTCTTTCCAGAGGGCAGCAGGGAGAACAGTCCATGGTGGGGGTGTGAGGGGTCTTTGATGATATTACGGGCTCGGGACACACAGCGCTGTGATGAAATGTCCTTAATGGAGGGAAGAGGAGCCCCAATGATTCCTTCCGCTGTCCTCACCACCCTCCTCACATTCTTCCAGTCAGAAGCTCTGCAGCCTCCACACCACAGAGAGAGACAGCTGGTCAGAACGCTCTCTGACCAGCTGTCTCTCTCTGTGGTGCATGAAATGTGTGCATGAAATTAAATGGTACCGAGGCAAAAAAACAGCACCTGATCCACGCTAAAAATAATAGTCACATCAAGAATGAATTAGAAAAATAATGTATTGAATAAAACTGAATGCTACAAAAATGTGTAGGTTGCTGTGTAAACCCTAACCCTGTGTCAATTACATTTTAGCTATAATGCTTTTTTCTTGTATGCTACAATACATCTGCACCCTTGACTTCGACAGCTGCTACATTGTTTGCAATTACACTGTTGAGAAATTTTAAAGAACTTTTTCTTTGAATATTGTCTAAATTAGGCCACAGTGGTGTGGTTCTAAGCATGAAAAACCTGTTTAACATCAGACCAAAGCACCTGAGTCGGGATTTAAGCGTAATTTAAATAGGCTATCCCAAAAACCTCCTTTTTTCCCCTCTTTTTGGCCAGTCAGGTGTGAACTTGCTGGTGTGATTCAGATTATTGTCTCTCTGTATAATCCCAGTGTGCTTGAGCTTTAAGTCATAGACTCATGGTAGGACATTTTCCATTGGGATATGGGCAGAACTCAATGTACCATGAATATAGCAAGTCATCCAGATCACCAAAACCTGGCTTTCACTATTAGAGAAACTTTTTAATAAATGGCAAACGCACTCAATCAAAATTATTGATTGACTGCTGATGTCAACCTTGTGGAGTTTAGGCATTAAGATCACTGCAAGGAAGTTTCTAAATCAGAACGGTCATATTTCTGTCATCCATACATAGGAGCACGTTGATAATGAAGCATTACAGTTCTCACACCATGAAAAAGAAAATAAAGCAAAACAACGTATCATTTTTCCTTGTGTAGCTAGAATTGTAGTGGGAAGACATCAGTCTTTATGAACCTCCTGAAATCTGCGATCTATGTGTTTTTTTTCCAGGGAAACTTTTTCGGAAACATGACTGGATAACACCTCTCTGTGTTTATTATCTTATTTATGTTTTAGATTTTAATGACTCTATTGTTTCTTCTTCAATTTATTACCGGGAGGAAGTTATGTGTGGCTTTTTAAAACCTTTAAAACATTTTGTGTTTTCATAAATGTCCAGTTTAGGTATTTATGGAATCTACTGCATTAATCAGACCTGGAGACAATTTCCATTTAGCTGCACAAAAGATGTGGGTAATTGGTTTATTCAATGTTTAACAAGGGGGTCATTGTTTTTTGCTTTTTATGTCTACTAAGATAATTTTCTTCTGAATCAAATTGCATCTGATCTAAAATATTGTTGTTGTTTTTTTAAAAGCAACAGAACCAGTCTGTGGGCAGATAGTTTTTCATAAGAAAGATTTACAGTCTTTCCTTGAATGTTGTAGCTGGAATTGTTGTGATGTCGATTTTCAGTTTGAAACTAAGCAATTGACATAAATTACATTTAGATTTTAATATTCAAGAAAATAATTAAAAATATTTAAGGATGTAACATTTAAGGGGTTTCATTCACACCTTTAAAATATTAATAGTGTAAACTCATTAAAGTAAATTAAAACAGCTTAACTGACGTCCAACGGGGACTCCAAATCCTCCTTTAGTTGCTTTTCTTTCTGCTGGTATACACAATCTGTGGAAGCTGCATGTGCAAAACAATTAATGACTAGAATAATACATTGAAAACACTCATTTGATTAATGCTTTGTCTGCTTTTGGACTCTGACTGGAACAGTGCAAAAACATACAATGCGTTTCTGTCACACTAATCCTCAGTATGCATAGTAGAATGCATCCATTTGTCCTCTGAATTGTCTGATGTAGTCTGATTGGTTGGGAGAACAGAATGCATTTGTGATTTTTCTGTGAATTATTTACGGCACCTTGTTTTTGTTAGTATTGTGATAATTCTTGAAGCTTGATGAAGCTGTTCCACATTGTGGTTTATTTCTCTCTTAAAAGTGTAGACAATAGTGTCAATTAGTTGAAAATGCTTTAATTAATAGAAGTTAAATGGAAGGAAGCCTTGGTCTTTGCTTGTTTTTATTTTCCTAGATTGAATAATCTGATAACACGATTAAAAATTCATATTATATGGGACCACAATCATCTTGTTGGCATTACAATAATAATGCAAATGTCTACTTCGAGGCAGTAGTTGGATGCTATATTTCTCGTGTCATATTCAGTTGGATCCACTCTATCTTCCCTCCATGCTTGCAGCTGATTTAATGGTTAGTAGCTGAGATGCTAAACTCATCGAGGGCAGTGGTAACATTATGTTAGACTGAAGGAGGCAAATGGGTTTTAATTCTAAAATTTGCTGTTTCCTTGATTAGATTTGTCTAATATGGAATCTCTAGATTAATATTTTACATGATTATAAAGTAACATAAACCCTTGAAAAACTAAAAGTAATACTTTTTGGGGTTTAGACGTAAAATTAGTAGGAAGACTTATATCTGTTTTATTCTTTTACATTTTGTCTATTGAAACCAAACATTTTGTAGTTTTAAATGAAGTTACTGTCTTGGTAGGTTTTTCATATCTTTAATTTCTCAATTTCTTCTGTAGAGAAAAAAATGTCAGTTAGTTGGACTTGATCTGCACTGAATTTTCGCTTTTGTTACTTAATTAAAAGGATCAGATGCTAAAGATTGAGGAGAGAAAACTAATGACCTTTCTGTCAGTGAAAGTCCAATAAGGTAGGATCAAAACTTGGAAAAATGAGGTTAGACCCTGTTAACATTGTGTGTTTTTCCATTTAACTGTCAATGCAAATAGAGAAAGTAGCAATGGTAAATTAAAAAGGTACAAAATGGTAAAAGTGACAAAAAATCCTTTAGGGAGCAATAAAATGGAAACCCCTTTATTTCTTTCTGTTGTGTAAAATAAAAAATACAGATAATCATGC